GAATCTAAGTGTCATTCCTAGAACTCCCAGGGTTCTACAAGAATAACATGAAGTTGCAATTGTATAAATGCTTCAAAAATAGAGATCTTCTGGTGGCCTAGGTGGGAGAAGCTGGCAGAGATGTATCCCTAGGGTGGGTGGATATTCCAGGGGCTGGAAGCCATCATCTTGGATGGGACTGGCCTTCCTGGTCTTCAGCCCCTCATTGGGCTGGCATCCAGAATTTCCCATCACCTTGTTTTCCTGCCTTCCTGCAGACTCACCTTATGCTCCTGACCCACACTTACGTGCCAGGCTTCAGCCTCAAGGCATTTGCCCTCCTCCCCCGCAGGATGCCAGATGCACGGCCCCCTCCCCTTGCAGAAATCCAGACTCCTGCAAGGGATGTGCTGTCTGTGTTCATGGCATTTTTATTGGACCTCCCTTGGGGCATTGGTGACATCCTGGTTCCTTTTCAGTTTATATCAATATTTCATCTCTTTCTAAAATAGCCATGGAAAAGACCATTGCAGTCTCCACCCTCTCATTGCAGTAGGTATGGGATAAATAGCATGGCTCGTTGGAAAGGTTTAATGTCCAATAGATAAGGATTCAAATCCTGGCTCTGCCACCTTAATTAATTTGTTTTATCCTATCTATTGATGCCTGCTTGTAGTGACCTTGAACAAATTTTGACCTTTCTGGGTCCCAGTTCCTACATGTGTCAAGATGGAATCAGGATATCTACGCCAGAGGGGTTGCTGCAAGGATGGGCAATGACAGACAGGCACCTCCGCCTGCCTCTATGCAGTCCTGATTTTGAGCCCTCCCTTGAGGCCCAGTTACAGCATTTAATGACTCACATCAACTCTGTCATGAACATTCCATCACTGCTGATTTTTCTCTGGCTCCAAGGAGTGCAACATGCAGATTTGGCCACCACGTGTCCCCTGTTGGGCACATTCCAGGCCTGGCTGCCCCTGATTAGGTGGGCTGGATTCTTGAGTCCTTTCATGGAGGGGGAGCGGGGACCTGTGTCAAGTCTAGTCAGGGACATGCCTCTTCCTTGGTGAATGTTATTTCACTGCCAGAATCTGGGGCCACGCTGAAACCTGTCCTCAGTGAGCCTTAGCCTGACTAAAGCCAAGGGGCTGGGGACATGGTCACTATGGAGATCTTCCTTCCAATAACCCATCTGGGAGCAGGACGTTTTGTTCAAAACCAGAAGAAAATAAGCTTCTAGTCTTTAGGACACTGAGTTACAACATTCTGAGTGTCTTTCTGGCATAACAACCTTTCAGTGTTACCTTTGGGAATTCAGAAAGCAGGCTGGGTGTGGAACTCATACCTGTACTCCTAGCAATTTGGGAGGCCAAGACAGGATGATCTCTTGAGGCCAGGAGTTCAAGGACAGTCCTAGAAACAGTGAAACTGCATCTCTACCAAAAAAAAAAAAAAAAAAATAGAGAAATTAACAGGGTATAGAGGTGCTAATTGGGAGGTTGAGGAAGAAGGATCACTTATACCCAAGAATTTGAGGCTGCTATACTCCAGCAACACAGGGTTTTTTGAAACCCTGTCTCAAAAAAAAAAAAAAGAAGAAAGAAAGAAAGTCAAAAAACAAATGATCTTCAAAATAATGTGTGTGTGTGTGTATTCATTGGTTTATTACTGTTGGCCTTAGTTACCAGGTTACCATTAATCATTTTGATTGCAAAATTGAGATGCTTTTAAGTTACAGACCAAGGACACCCTCTAGAGAAAGGAGCTGAGACCAGTGGTGTATACAGAAAGAGGTACTGGCATTATTCCTTACCAGCTCTGTCACTTAACCTTTTGGAGCCCCTGTGTCTTCTTCATCTCTAAAATGTGGGCAGCGAGAAGCTCTTCTTCTTGTCGTTGTTGCAAGAATTAAATGAAGTGTGATAATATTTGGACATGTTTTATAAATTCCAATGTACAATGAGAATATTAATTAGCACTTTACATTTGTGCCTTTACAAACACTAGTTTATGCACATTTTTCTGTGGGTACCTCCAGGCCAGAGCGTAAGGCCCTTGTTGGAGGATGAGCCTGGGGATGTTTAAGGATATAGCTGTCACCCTGACCACTTCTCCTAGAGCAGGCTCCTCAGAGCATGGCCAAAGGCCACCCTCATCAACTCATGAAAAATGCAAATCCCCAGACCCCCTGACTGACTTGGAAACCCCAGGGATCTAAATCTTTATCCAGCACCCCAAGTTTACCAGCTCATTGTCATAAACACTAAAGTGTAAGCGACAGATTCAATGATGCCCCCCAAACATGTTGGTTGGTTTACTGAATACACAGTACATAATCACTGCCTTAATCTGCTTTGTGTGGCTATTACAGAAACTCAAGATCTGGTAATTTAAAATGAACAGAAATGGATTGACTCATGTTTCTGGAGGCTGGGAAGTCCGAGACTGGGGCTGGCATCTGTTGCAGGCTTTCTTGCTCCATCATCTCATGGTTGAAGGCAGAAGGGCAGAGAGAAACAAAGAGGAAAAGGGGCCAAACATCTTTCTATAAGGAACCCATTGCCATGACAATGGCATTAATTCGCTCAGGAAGTGCCCATGACTCAAACAGCTCCCACTGGGACCCAGCTCCTAACACTGCCACATTGGGAATCGAGTTTCCACTGTGTGAACATTGGGAAATACATTCAAACCAAAGCAGGCGCCTATCTCATGTGAGGATACATGTGAGACATACAGGTGCACAGTGTGCTCTAACATTATAAACCAAGTATCTAATCAGGACACCGTAACCAGCCCTGAGATCTGCAGGCGTCTGAGAAGCAGAGGGGTAGGCAGGTTGCTGGCATTCTGTTCTGTTTCCTTCTGTGGGAAGCAAAGTTCCACAGACACATTATCTCACCTATAGCTCAGCATAGTTCTGAAAGGTAAATAAGGAAACAGAGGCTTGAGGAGTATAAGTAACCTGCCCATCCTCTGAAGTCAGTGGTGTGCTGGTAAATGCATAACTAGAGGCTGGGGAAAGAGAGCCCTGATTTGTGGTGTGCTGATTTCTATGGTCTAAAAACTCATACCATGGTGGATTTCAAGGCACCGATGTGCTGGCACTGGAACAGAGCAGGAGACAGATGTCACAATGCACCCCTGAGAACTGGTGTGAGTTCCAGCACTTACATGCAGCTGTCAGTCACTCAGGTAACTGTTAATGACCACCATGGTGGACACACGGGGCCGAGGGCACTTTTATCCCACCTTCCTGGTGTCTTATTTCATGAGCATCTGTGAGGGGCTTGGGATGATGGGAGGGGAGATCACAATGAGGTCTCTAGCTTTGAGGGGTAGTGTCAACAGTTCCTGAGAAACACTGCCCTTGCTTTGGTAGACTCCACCTAACAGATTGTGGCCCATGTTCCATCACCACTGTGAGGCTCCAAGACGGAGCTCTCTGTGTTCAGGGCAGGGGGATGAAGTCACTAATATGGCATCAGTGGTGACTAGCAGGAGGTGGCACTACACAGACAGGTGAAAGGTATTCTGAGAGCTGCCACCCAGCTCTTCCCCACAGGGCCTTGATCAGAGACAGAAGGCCAGAGTCCCTGCATATTTTCCCGAGGGGAGGCTGAGATTCTGTGTCCAATCCCTGTGGCCTGGACCTAGCTGACCAGCCAGCATCCTCCCCACTTTCTGCCATATCATGTCATGCAGGTCCCTCATCATCTCAAACTTGTCACCTCACCAGATCCAGGGCAGGTGGGTGTGCAGGCTTCAGGGCTAAGAGAAGGCAACAGAGGAATCGGGACTGCTACTGAGGCTGGCTGTGGACACGCAGGCCTCCTGGGAGTGTTCAGGGTTGGATAAAAACTTCTCTCAGGTGAGAGGACACCCAAAATGTGTCACAGAGAACCTCAGTGGCCCTTAGGCAGGCTTGAGGATGCTGCTGAGGGACCCTCAGCTGGGAGGAAGGCACTGTGCACTGAGGACCCCTGTAGGGCAGCAGCTGTTCTTAGGACAGGCTGGGAAGGTCTTGGGAGATATCTAGGGCCGTGCCCTTGACCGTGCAAGACAGAAATGTGAGCTTCTTCCCCCTCAGCAAAAGTAGCCTACCGGAGCCTACCTGCCCAGCCCAGAGAGGGAGGTGTGTCAGTCCTGGGAAGCGCAGCCATGGGACAGGTCGGCTAAGACTCCCAAGTCCAGGTCTGGCCAGATCGGGGCAGTGGCACTGAGGCATGAAGGTGCCCAGGCATCCCTCTCTTCACTCAATTTCCTTGACTCAGCCTGTCTTTGACATACACTGGGGAGGACGGTGCGGGAGCCACAGGGAGCCAATCACCCCGCTCTGGAGCGTTCAGAGCTGACTCCCTCCGAGCGTGGGGAGTGAGAGAGAGAGTGTGTGCGCGTGTGTGTGTCCGCGCGCGCGCGCGCATCAGTGGGGATTTCTGTAATAGAAGCAGCCAGATTCCGGAGAAAGAGAAAGAGGAGGGGGAAGAACAAGAGGGAGGAGAAAATTGGGGGTGGGAGAGACAGACAGAGAGAACAGCGCAGGGGGCGGGGAGAGGAAGAGGTGGCAGGGAGAGCAGAAAGGGAGAGCAAGCGAGAGCCGAGAGAAGGAGGGACAGAGAAAGGCAGAGAGCGGGCGGGCGCGCGGAGCTGAGCAGAGACCGCCGGAGCTTAGAGGGATGGGGTGAGGGCGGGAGGAAGCCGAGGCGGAGGCAGCGTGGAGGCCGCTGGCGCCTGCAGTCCAGGACCCGAGGGCGCTACCGGCTCCGGCGCTCCGGCCACTCCGTCGCTGGCCCCGGAGGTGCTGCGGGGGCTTAGAGGCGGCCGCTTGACCAGGTGCCTGCCCAGAAGGTGGCCAGGTCTCAGGGGTGGCCGCGTGCCCGAACGCGCGCCTGGGAGGTGGCTAGGACTCGGGGGTCGCCGAACACCCCCCGGGGAGCCATGGCTGCGGGGACCTGGGGGCGCCGGGTGGCGGCGCCAAGGGGCTGAGCCGGCCACGGACCTCGCCATGGTGGCGCCGGGTTGCGGTCCCTGAGCGCCGGCTGGGGGCGCGCACCATGAACTCGTGGGACGCAGGCCTGGCCGGGCTGCTGGTGGGCACGATGGGCGTCTCGCTGCTGTCCAACGCGCTGGTGCTGCTGTGCCTGCTGCACAGCGCGGACATCCGCCGCCAGGCGCCGGCGCTCTTCACCCTGAACCTCACGTGCGGCAACCTGCTGTGCACCGTGGTCAACATGCCTCTCACACTGGCCGGCGTCGTGGCACAGAGGCAACCGGCCGGCGACCGCCTGTGCCGCCTGGCCGCCTTCCTTGACACCTTCCTGGCCACCAACTCCATGCTCAGCATGGCAGCGCTCAGCATCGACCGCTGGGTGGCCGTGGTCTTCCCGCTGAGCTACCGGGCCAAGATGCGCCTCCGCGATGCCGCGCTCATGGTGGCCTACACGTGGCTGCACGCGCTCGCCTTCCCAGCCGCCGCGCTCGCTCTGTCGTGGCTCGGTTTCCACCAGCTGTATGCCTCCTGCACGCTGTGCAGCCGGCGGCCCGACGAGCGCCTGCGCTTCGCTATCTTCACCGGCGCCTTCCACGCGCTCAGCTTCCTGCTGTCGTTCGTCGTGCTCTGCTGCACGTACTTCAAGGTGCTCAAGGTGGCCCGCTTCCACTGCAAGCGCATCGACGTGATCACCATGCAGACGCTCGTGCTGCTCGTGGACATCCACCCCAGGTGAGGGAAGGCCTGGGTGAGGGCTCTGGAAATGTGGAGGGGGCCCACGATGGCATGGGAATGGAAGTGGAAGGGACCCTGTCCCTGCGTCCCACCTCGGGCAAGTTCCTTTCCACTGAGTCTCTACTTCCTCTTGGGACAGTAAGGTGGGGAGAACAGTCAAGGGGGGTGGGGAACCTGCCATCTCAAAGCTACTTGTGGACCTCTGCCCAATCCCCAAGTGTGGCCTCTTGACTGAACCCAGACTTCACAGAACAAATCCCTTTCTTAAAAGGACTTTTTCTGTAAAAAATGGATTCAATCAAAAGGCCACACTGAAGGATCCGGAAGGCCACGTGTGGCCCCAAGGCCACAGGTTCCCCTCCTCACAGGGAAGGTGGATGAATCCATCAGAGTAGACGTCATAGAGAGTCAGAAATTTAGGCTTCTTTACACCTGTTTCATGTGTTTTTAGTTTTCAGTTTAAACTGCAGGTGGGAAGGCAATGGTTTAAGACCTTTAGAAGATTTGAGTCAGGACTCCATGGGAGGGTGGCCTGCTGCTGAGGGAGCTCCCAAGGGCTCTTCAAACCAAAGCGTGCTGCCTCCCTGGGTCTTGCCTCTCTGCTGTCTGGTGCTGCCTCTGTCTCCCATCCCTGTGAGCATGAATCCAGATGGAGTCTGGCTGTGCCTTCCTCTGCGTGGGCGTGGAGAGGTCAGGCTCTGTCTCCCCACTCCCCAGAGCTCTGTCTGGCCTCTCTCACATTTGGTGCCCAGGAGTCTTGCAGAAGGAGCCTCACTCTGTCTGTGGGAGCCTCTCAGGAAGAGGATAAGACTCTTAGCTGAGCTGTCCTGAGCTCACCTCAGCTTTGCTTGGGAGAACAGGGAAGTGTGGAGGGTAACAGCTGCCGGTGTCTTGGGGACTCTCTGTTTTATACTCTGCTGTCCCAGGGAAGAGCTGGCTCCTCTTCTGTTCCCTGGGGCCCTAGATAAGGGGGTACTGGTCCAGATAATGGAAGCCGAGGAAGGGCCAGAGCCCCAGCAGAGGAGGCCAGAGCTTTCCATGTGAACAGAACCTGGGATTCAGGGAGCCTGAGGCAGAGGAGGGAGCTCAGTGTTTCCCAAGGAGGGGGTTGTCCCCCTCCAAAGCTGAAGGGAACAGACTGGAGGTGTCAGTCAGAGCCAGCGCTCCTTCAACTCTGAGTTTTTCCTGTCCATGAGCCCTTACAAGCAGTGCTTGAACTTCACCGTCCCGCATATAGAAGGGCAGGCACACACGTGCTCCTTGTCCTCCCTCTGAACAACCACTGTTGACAACACACAGGACCCATCTTCTAGCCAAAGACTCTCCCCCACAGAATCATGTACAAAATGTACTTGTGAAGAACAAAGAGCACAGACACTATGCGTGTAAATGCAGGAGCTCCACACGCAATCTCACCTGCTCACACATGACCGGCACATGTACCAGACAGCTGGCCACGTGCCCACGCTCACAGGTGTGGCAGGCATGTGCTCTAACACAAACCGGCTCTCACTGCACGTGTCATGTTTATTCAAAGAAATAGTCACAGCTACAATTACAGAGCTATTCCCCCTCCCATCACCCAGGGGTGGAAGTCCATTCCTAGGGCTTGGGCTGGGACAGATCTTAGAAGGTACATGGCAGTGTCATTAACTCCTGGGACTTCAACAATGCCTACACTGGACCCTCTCACCCTGAGTCTAACTGACATGGGAGGAGGGTTGAGTTGAGAAAAGAATCAGTTCTTCTGTAGACCAGTGTAACCCCCATTCCTGCTCTTCCTCCAACTTCCAGAGAAGGAAGGCCCATAATCCTCCTCAGCCCCCTTGGGCTGTAGGGTCGTCTCCACTCCTGCAAAATCCTCTCTGATGCCAGGCCAGATGCCACAAAGAGAGTCCCAGGGTCCCAGGAGCAGAAGCAGTTGTGCAGCTCAAGTCCAATCTCCTCCCCACCCCCTCCGGGAGCCCTTTGACCTCTGCCAGCCCCAGGCTGCTTTGAGGAGTCCCTGCTCCCAGTGCCCTGGGAGGCCTCTGGGAAGTCTCCTTGGAGACAAGGTTTCTGGGGCAGGGGCTGGAACTAGAGCTCCCTGAGGTGGCAAAATAGTGGCCCATGTGACAGCACTGCCCCTTCAGTGAACACTAAATTATCTTTTTCTGGGAGACTGGTCCCTACTGAGGAGGGGACAGCCAGTCCACTGGCTTATTCTTTCTCCTCACAGATGAGAAAGTGGAGGGATGACTCGGGGCTGCCCCTGGGTCCCCCACCTCAGGAGCAAAGCCTCCTGACCATTTAGTGCCGAGAGCTTATGGGACTTAGGAGTGCTGGCCCTCGGGCAGCAGGAGCCAGCTTGTCCCTCTGGAGCCAGGGAGGCAGGTGGAGTCTTTGCTCACTGACATTTTTATCAGCTACCACACTGATGGCCTCCTGGGACTTAATTAAAAGGGACCTGTTTTGAAGATCCCCGGGTGGCATTTGTCAGGAAGCTCCCTGGTGGTGTCTGTTCCTCCTGCAAGGTGTCTGACATGATGTGGAGCAGGCCTCACCCCTGTGCTTCCACCACCTGCCCACGCCGCAGGGATCCTCTCTTCCTAATTAAATCTGGGGCCCTGAGTGGTGTTCCCATGCCTGCTTTTCTGTGGTGGTTTCTTGAAAGTTGCTACATTTCTGAAGCAATTTGGAGGTTCTTGTATCTGTTACACACCTGGTCCTCCACCTGCTCTGTGCCCACACACACACATGTGCATATTGGGCCCTCTCAAGTCACAGCTTGAGCCAGTTATAGCCAGGCCCTTCCTGGGTTGCCAGGCACAGGTGGGTGCTGGCGTATGGAGGCAGGGCCTTGTGATTCCCAGTCTGGCTGAGGGTCGCTGCTCCCCAGCTCACTTAGTGACTTAACAGAAAAAGAATGTTAGTGAAAAGTACTCAACACAGAAGCCATGCCCATCCTAACTGGAGATGCCTCTGGGGACCCTGAGGCTCTGCCGGGCCTCCCAGTGTCTCCTCGATGCCCTGTGAGCCATATCTATAGATGCTGGCAGAGTCCTGGCTCTGGAGCGGTCAGAATGGTGGAGTAGAAGACAGGAACTTCACAGTGCCCTTGATTTTACAGATGAGGAAATTGGGATGCCAGGGAAGAATGGTCCTGTCTAATTGAACAGATCTAGAAGATCAACGGCTCAATCCAAGACTCATAGCTAGGTCTGCCCCTGAGAATTTATTGATGGGGCAGTAGTACACATGGGCGCTTGCAAGCCATGTGTAGGTATCTAGTTCTGAATTTATCTTACAACCTGGTAGATGAAATATATTCTACTCTCCTTCCTTGGCAAATATACCTTTATAATGACCTGCAGGGCAGGATTCAAATTCAGAATTCTCAGGCTCTTTGGCGACCAACTTTATACTTTCTGGGGAGAGGTGAGTTGGCCCTGAATATGGTGCCCATTTGTTCTGCCACAGCTGGCAGCCACAGGGAGGGGCTGACTGTAACTGGCCAAGCTGTGATTTGGGAGAACTGAATGTGTACACGAGCAGGTGGAGGACCAGGTGTGGTAATAAAGATGAGAACCCCCACACTGCACCTCCCTTGCCCCAGTCACACATCACAGGTTCTGCACTCATGCTCCACACACACGTGCTGCCCCCAAACACCACGCCTCAGGCCTGGAGCCGTGCACAGGCGGCACAGTTCACCCTCAGAGGATGAGGCCAGAGGAGAAGCCTGCATGGGCTTTGGTAGCAGAATGAAGGCATTGGGGCAAAGAATTCCATGTCCCAGGCACTTAAAACTCTACAACAGAAGGTGGGGGCTCCGTGAGGGCACTGTCTCTTAGCCCTATGAACTCTTTATGTTGTGGGGAGAGGTGTGGTCCCCTTAATGTGCAGGGCACAGGGCAGGGACACCCCCCCTTGCTGGACTTGAAGGCAGGACTGCTTATACCACCGTCCTGAACCGCCTCCCCCCAATCAGTCAGCTTGTTATCTTGCCTTAAAAGCCATGAAACAAATTGGGGTGACCCCTGAGTACTCAGAGCATGGCCTCTGGGTAGACTGCAGCCATCTGGAAGTCATTCAGGATCCCCACCCCGGAAGAGGGCAGGGAGGTGTCTGTGCCTGGAAGGTTTTCACTGAGATCACTTTGTTCATCGACTTTTCAGATATTCTCAGAATTCACCATCCCTTTTGCCCCATATATCTAAAGGGATGACCTGATCCTGGGATCATGTCTTTGACCTCACATGCACAGTACTAGAGCACTATCTCCCTTTTTCTCAAGGAAACTCTTCATCCTGTGCCAGACACAACTGGCACTCAAGATCATGTGATAACACTCTGGCTGAATGTACCTGGCCGGGGGGGTTTGGGGGAGCTTTGGGCCTCGCCTCGCTGTACCAGATCTTGCCTAAGGATCTGACGACTTCAGCGGCCACCACCAGGTTCAGGAATGTTTAGAGGAGGGGGTCTGGTGGGACCACCTAGAACTGAGTCAGGGGATCTGGTTGTGTCCCAAACTCACTATGTGGCCCTGGCATGTCATACTCCTTTCTGGCCCTCCATGTTCTCATGTACAAATAAGTAAAATAACAGCTCACAGGGCCTCAAGATTCCAAAAAGCTCAGTTTTGCAAAGCTATGGTGTGGTGTGTCGGGTGGGGGGATGACAGCAAGAGCAAAGCAGTTTTACCATGTTGTTTGGGGAGCCGGTGAGCCCTCTCAGACTGTGCTTAAACAGTAGTCATAATAAGCAGAGGGTTACACTATCACCTCAGAACCTAGGGACTGCCCTGCCTTGTGTGCCCCCTGCCACCTCCCCCTTCTTGCCTGAAAAGCAGGAGAGCCCTGGGTAGGGAAGATCAGGGGAGGAGCAGCAGGCTGGGAGTCAGTGACTGAGTGCTATCCCCCTGCACCTCACTCCCCACTCCTGCAATCCCTCTCTTCTTTGGGCCTCAGTTTCCCCATCCATGAGCTGAGGTAGGTGGCCGTGCAGGCCTTTCATACTGTGGAGTCTAGCTAATCTGTCCCAGAGCAGAGATGTGACCAGGGCTTGTGGATGCAAATTGTAGGCACAAGGCCCACCTTAAAGACACCCTCTGTGTCCACGGCATGACAAGTGCTGTGAAGGTCCAGTGTCCCCCATGTCCCTGAAGTCCCAAAGAGGGTCACAGAGCTAGTGCAAGAGTCAGGACGTCATCTCAGCCCTCCGGGGTCCCAGCTTACTCTCTCGCCCCTCTGGTGCAGTCTCTGGTTATAGTCGTCTCTCTCAGGAGTGCAGGGACAGGAAGATTTTTGCTGTGGGCAGCTCTGTGGTTTTGGAGTTCAAGGCAATACTGGAACATAGCACTTATTCCATAAATGCATGTTGAATGAATAATAGTAGTGGGTAGTATTCATTGAGTGTTTTCTCTCAGTCAGGCACTGTCCTCAGTACTATCTTAACCCAGCTAATCTCAGTAGGACCCTAAGATGAGCCTGATGGGCACAGAGAGGCTGTGTAACTTGCCCTAAGGCTCCACAGCAGTTAAGTGACAGTGCTTAGGTTTGAACCTAGAAGCCTGGCTCTGTGTTTCATGCCTACCCACTAGGGACTAACAAAGAAAGGAGGCCAGGCCAGCAGATGTTTTTGTAGCTTTATATCCAGGGACTGTCCTTGCTTTGTGTGATAGGCTCAAGGTTTTTAAGGTTCCTTCTTAAAAATGTTTTTAAGACCAGATTTTCAGCTTACTATCGTCTCTTTTGAAAGGATCACTTTCAGAAAATGATTGAATCCTAATTTTCCTAAAATATTTTAAAAGAGGTGTTTATTATCTCCTACAACACACACTTAGTAGGTATTTTCTGGGTGTGAGATGTTAAGCTTGAAATGATGGGGTCTTCCCTGCCCCCAGCTACACAAAGCCTCAGGAGGGGCAGGTACAATTAATTCCCCCCAGACGCTGCAATGTCGAGGACTGGCACGGACTGGCCTGCGAGTCTATTTCCTTCCTTCAGGCCAATGAAATGTTTCTATTCATTTTTTCTGAAGCCCTCTGAGGGTCTCACCAATATCTGTTTTTAAATATTCTTCAGGGCCTGGTGTTTGGGGGGAAGGATTATCTGGTGTGGCAGGGTGAGGAGGCTGCTGCTCCTGGGGAAAGACCTGTGTCTTCAGCCCCTCTGCAGGGACCCCAGACCCTACTGGGGGGACCCACGAAGCTCCCCACCCCTCAAAAGACTGATAGCTAATGAGTCATGTCCCTTTATGAAAAGTGTCCATCCTTGCAATGAATGGTAGCTCTAGTTATAGATATTATGAAACCCCCTGTAGACAAATGAGGAAATCACTTCAGAGAGGTTAAGTGACTTCCCTGAGGCCGCAGCTATGAGGACAGAATTGGAGAAAGGATGCCTAAGCCAGGGTTCTTTCACTCACCAGGGTTATTCTAAAGCACCCGAGAATTAGACGACACTGTTAGGTCCCAAATTGTGGGAGGTGCCCAGCCCCTGTCACTCTGGGTTCCCATTGATGAGTCATTTGCATGAATTGGGTGCTCGTATAGGAGATTCCCAGAATGCTCTGCCCATCTCAGCGGGTGCATGTCCTCTGATGGCTCATGTTCTGTACCTCTAGCACATCTCACATCAGTTGCATTGAAAGTTTTAGGGGAAATACAGTGATGCTGAATCAAACGGGCCTATGCTGTGAAGAATTATGCCAAACACTGTGTATCCCTAGGGCCACTGTCATCTTGGTTTGCCTAGGACTGACGGGCTCCCAGGCTGCAGGACTTTGAGTTTTAAAACCAGGACAGATGAGTTGGTTGTTTTACAGCACCCAAACCTTCAGGTGGGGACTTATGCCGTCATACCTGTCACATGCACCAGAGAACTTGGGCAGAAAACTGCAAAAACCCAGCTGTGATAAGAAGGTCAGAAGATTTAACTGACTCTTGCTGTGTGACCTTAGGCAAAGCCATTCCTCAGTCCCTTCCTGCCCCCAGCTTTGTGCTTCCGCGTCTCTGGATGAGATGATGCCTTCCTGGGAGGCTGTGGTGCACATGCTGGGTGGTAGCGCTGCACAGGGCTCCAGAGGCACACAGCCTGGGTCCAGATCCTGCCATCTCCTTGGGTGACCAACCATCCTGGTTTGCTTGGTACAGAGGGGGATTCTCAGGTGTGGGACTTTCCTTTTGAAAACTTGGACAGTCCCCTGCAAACTGTTCAGGATGCAGGACTTTCTGTGCTACACAGGGACAGCCCCAGATAAACTGGCAAACTGGTCACCCTTCCACCATTACTTACCAACTCCATGATCCTGGGCAAGTTACTTAAGTCCCCTGGGCCTCGTCTTCTCATCTGAAAAACAGGGACCACAAAGGTGTCAGTCCCCAGCTCACAAAGACGCTGTAGCAAATAAGCAGATTACATGAACCTCCCTATCACAGTATCTAACATGGCATATATTGAAGACTCAAGGAATGCAGGTTGTCATTAGTTTTTAGAAATTAATTAGTAATATTAGTCATCAGTAACACATTTTCAGCCAGAATGAAACCTGTTTGTGCCAAGTCCAACTCCAGTTCCACACTCTTTAAATTCCTGGAAAGGCAAAAATCAGGGGAGAAAAAATCCTGCAAGAATTTCAGGAGCCCGCAGTCCCACCCAATCTGAAATTGTCCATCTGTGGCAGGAAATCTGATTAAGAGGAGCTTTGATTAAGTATTAAAATGATGGTTCTCCTGGCAGGAAGGGAAGGCTGTCCTGATATTAGCGATGTGCACGAACCTGGCTCATGAATATTCTCTCCATTGCTTACTTTTGCCGAACAGACCGGCTGGCCTATTTTTGGAGTCAGGTCTCTGCCACTAGGCCCTTCACGTCCGGGGCAGCCGTGTCTGCAGTCCTCCTCTGTGTTCACTTAGAACCCCTAGAAAGGTCCGGGAGAGAGAGAGGAACAGGAACAGGGTGTGGTTAGAGGCGCTGGTGTCCAGGAAAAGATATGGCTGGAAGCATGGATAGCTCCCAATCCCATTCTTGAATCTGTGCCCCTTACTCCAGGGGGACACGGGACTCTCTGCTCCCTCAAAGGGACTCCTCTTTCAGGGCCCCCAGGATGTGGTGTCCAGCTGCAGTCAGGGTAAAGCTTTGGGATGGAAGAAGCAGGGCCACACACCACCGGACACACACAGTCCAGGCTGCCCAGTGAAAAGGACCAGCTTTGAGTCACAAACACAGCTTCGAACCCTGCCTCCACTCCCCGGCCAGGCAGATCATTCCACCTAGAGAACCCACGATTCTCATTCTAAGACACATGGCAAGCAAAGACCCACCTGGCAGGTTGCATGTACCTGGCATGATCGATTGTGGTAAAGATGAGAAGTAGAGCTATGGCTTGGACAGTGTGGTGCCCTGGTGCTGGCGCCTAGCTGGTGATCAGTGAATGGTACAAGCAATAACAAGTTAATGTGTATTTGTCCTGACTTGGCACTGTGCCAGGAGCTGTGTGTGTTTCATGCCCTGAATGCTTTCATCCTTGTGTGTGCTTCATGCATTTAATTTTCAAAATAGTCCTTTTTAATGTTCTATTAGATTACATGTAATACACTAAACTACATCCATAAAATATATAATGTTATGCTATTATATTACAGGCGATGACCTTGAGGCTTAGCAATGTCATACGGCCTGCCCAAGGTCAACAGCTACAGCTGAGACTTGACCCCAGGTCTTTCGGGCTTCATAGTCAAGTTCCCACACTAGAGGCCTATGCCTGTGTTTGGGAACAGGGCTTCTTTCTCCCCTGCCTGGCTGCCCATCAGTCCCTTCTCCCCTCTCTCACACACAGTGTGCGGGAACGGTGTCTGGAGGAACAGAAGCGGAGGCGGCAGCGAGCCACCAAGAAGATCAGCACCTTCATAGGGACCTTCCTTGTGTGCTTTGCGCCCTACGTGATCACCAGGTGAGCCTGACTGGCGGGGCATGTGTGTCAGGGCTCTGAAGGACAAAGCAGTGACCTTTATCAGTCATGACCTCTCTTGGCCCCACGTTCCTCACAGGGTGTGTTGGAGGGGGGTGAGAATGAACTTGGCAGGTTTAGTGAAAAGAAGGTTCATACATTTCCTCTTCAGCCTCCGATTCTTTTGGATTCAATGCAGAACCCAAAGAGTGTGAAAGACTCTCCCACTCCCTTTCCAAATCACTCATTTAACCCTTTATCCTGGGCTTCCGGCCCCAGGAGGCCCCAAAGGAAAGGAGAAGGGGAGGGAAGGCAGAGGAAGCATTGTGCAGTGGCTGGGCACCTTCTGCCCACTGACTGCAGGACAGGAGAGCCCAGCTCCCAGGCGTCCCCAGCCTGGACATGGTCACTAGCAGTCACCTGCACAGGGTGCAGAGAACATGCTTTAGGCCCAGCCAGGGGGTGCCACCCCTATAGATCAGGGTCTCCCACTGGGGGGCTATGATGCTTGTTACATTCTCTCCCAGATCGCCTGCCCCCAAGCCAGCCAGGGTGCAGCACACTGGCCTCGGGGCTCTGTGTTTCTCAAGCCAACCTGCTCAAGCTGCAGCACCCCCACCCCCACCATGTGTGTTAACCAGAAAAAAGAAAAAAAATATCACCTAATCAAACAGGTTTGCCACTTAAGGGAGAAGAAAATCCCCACAACTTTATATCCAGTGTGGCTTAACTATTTACAAAGTTGGCAATAAAAAAATAACTTTCAAGTTCTGTTAGGAGTGGTTATGGAAGTTTCATTGACTCTGCAAAGTAGGATTGTGCAGGGTTGCATGCATGAGACTGAGAAAGAGAGAGAAGGGAAACACAGCCCAGCCCCCAGCATGCCCATCACTCCCTCAGCTGCAGGGCCTGGAGGGGGCCCTCCTACCTGGCTATCACCCAGCATCACGCACGCCCCAGTGGGCAGCAGTGCAGGGGAGTGCTGCCTGCTCCTCCTGTCTTCCCGGAGCCCCTGCGGCCTTGTAGACGCTGAGCCCTTGCCTCCCCCCCCATTGCCCCACTTCTCTTCCCCAGATAGCCTGACTCTGGGGTGCCTTCCCCATCCCGAGGTGCACTGCCCCCTTCTGTTGGTGCAGTAGCAGAGTGGTTAGTAGATGGCTCCAGAGGGTGTCTCCCTGGGCTCAGCCCCCTCCACTCATCCTGCTCTGTGACCCTGGGCCAGTGACCTGGCCTCTCTGGGACTCCAGAAGGGAGTACAGTGTTGTGAGGGTTAAAGGACATGGGCCAGGGGAACATGTGGCATAGCCTGGCTGATGACGTCTGTGGTCTTCACCCTCCCTTCCCCCCCACCTAGTGTACTGGCTGGGGCTGGAACTGAAGGGGGATGGAAGGACACAGAGGCGCTTCCTCCTAGATCCCAGAGGACCAGGACACGCGGGCTCATGAGGTGGACGTGAACCCTCAGAGGAGGATAGGTCATACAGCACCAATGCCAAGCTACTGGCTTTTTTTTTTTTTTTTATTTCAACTTGATTCCCTCTAATAGTACCCAGGAAATAATGTTTCAGTAAAATTGATGGGAGATTCACAACTCAGTGCTCCCTCCAAATGGATTTGATGCATTTAGAGTTTTTAAAACTGTTTATCCTTTTTGAGGACGAGGAGCAACTTCCCGGGAGAGAAAGCTATGCCCAGGAAACCTCATGGGGACCAAATATGGCTCTGGTGGAACCACCCCCGGTGCCCACAGCCACCACCCACTGCTCCCGTTGTGGCTTTTTCACATGCATGAAGGAGCCAGCCTAAGAAAACCTCCTGAAATATGCAAACATACCCTCATTTCATTTCAGCACACATTCCTCCAGCACCGCCTCTGCAGAGCAGTTAAGAGCTCCTGCAGAGGGAGCTTGGGTTGGGGAGACTCCAGGGGTCCTCCGGTGATGGGAACATTGATCCTATTGTCCTCCAGCCCAGGCAGGGCACCCAATGGGGTCAGGCTGCAGGGTTTCTGGAGCCCAAGCAAGTTCTCCTGACTGGGGCTTTGCAGACAAGCTTATGAAGAGGGCCTGGCTATGCAGATGGTATGATCTAAGTAGAAGGGACACACTGAGCCATCCAGCGCAGGGGCGTCCAAACTGAGATGTTCTGTAGGTTTAAAACCACGTTGGATTCCTGAGAGCTTTCCCTGGACCTCCGGCCACTTGTGTCATCCTCTAGCTGCCAGGGCCCAGTGGGGTCCCCATCCCAGAGGTGGGGTCCTCCTCCACCTCTCTTCCTCGTCCGTGTCCCGCTCAGTGTTGCATTTTATCTGGGGATGTATTCTAAGCACCAAGTCAGTGTCTTTCTCACTGGGGCCAGGAGGACTGAGGGGGGGGGACATCAGGCCCCAGAGCAGGGGAGCAGGAAAGGGAGTGCAGAGCAGGTGGTCCTCCGGGTGTGTCCTTCTGAAGTCACACCCTGTTGGGACCACTTCCCCTTACCTATGCCTTCCAGTCCCATACCCCTTCCATGACTGTGGGAAAAAGAGAGTTCAACCAGATGCTCAAGCATTAAGGCAGCAGCCAAGGGCCCCCAGGCACACCCCAAGCTCACAGGTCCCTGATCAAGGGCCCTGTGAGCCCTGGTATGTGCCCAGCACAGCCAGAAGCAGAAAAGAGCACCACTTCCACTGCCTGGGCATAGGACTGCTGGGCCAGGTGAGACAGGATATGACCTGTCACCCACCTCCTGGGAGCCCTATGCAAATCCTCCCATCTTAGCCATCTTCCTCTGAGTCAGTGTGGAGAAACACACACTGTTGTGAGGAGTAAAGGGTAAGTCAGACACTCCATGGCAGCCTTTAGCACAGTCTGGGTCCGCCAGCATCCACCCTGGAGTCGGGTCACTAACTCTTTTGGCAGTGACTGTTTACTCTTCTGCGTCCTTCCCGGCCTGCTCATGAGTGTAGACACAGCCAGTCTCAGAAGCAGCTGACAACGGACTGCTCTGAAATGTCATTGAGTATTTAACTTCTTGCAGAATTTCTTGTGGAATCCTAGAGTGTAGGTTATGGAGGCAGAGGGCCCCTCAGCTGTCCTCTCATGCAGGGAGGCGAACTGGCTGTATGGTGCAGGCCAGCTTGGACTGGCTGTGAGCGGCCAGCAGAGCGCCCACGGGTAGCAATTCTGAGACTGGCTGGGGTGGGTGGAAAAGTACTGGAATCACTGAGCTGCCTCCCTGACCCGACGGGCAGGACCCACGTGCTCGCAGTTTCCTCTTCCTGACACTGCACAGTGGTTCACCTACTGGGCTTCACAGTAGAATCACCTGGAGGGCTGGAACTCCAAACCCACATGTGGACCTCACGTTGGATGGGTTAAGTTAGACTTTCTGGCCTGGGCCTGGGCATGGGTGATCTCAGGGCCCCTCAGATGGTTCTAATGACCATGGTGTTGAGATCCACTGGCCCTTATTTTACTATTGGAGGAACTCAGGACTGGGGTTGGAGACTGATTGCCTGGAGTCACATATCAGTCTGTGGCAGAGATGGACTTACAGCCTCGGGGCCCTCCACCAGCCCCTCAAGATTTCCAAAGGGTCTAAGTATCTTTAAAGAACTCAGCATTCCCCTGTGGTCTTTCTGCAGCTGTGACACTAGAACACTTGGTACACTGGGAGTGCTCCTGGCCTGAGCAGGGGGAGCGACCACCAGGAGGTGGCCCATGGGTGGGGCTTACATGAGCTAAGAGATAGATTCAGACACAGGTCTACCTGACAGGGTTGTGCACTTTGCGGCTTGCTGAACTCTATGACCCCCCTGGGCCCTGCACTGTCCCTAAGGGATGGACTGAATGAACTAGGAAAGCCTCACTCTGCACATGGGAACCAAGACTCTGAGACGGAAGGGATTGCACAGGTCACTTAGCGGGTGAGACTCAGGGAACTGGGAGCCTGAACCTGGACTTGGACGCCCCAGGCAGCCCCAGGGACCCTGGACCAGAAGGACTGTTCTCCTGCATGCTGGAGTTTCTCCCTGCTCTCTGCGGAAATTATCAAAACCCACTGAGGCAATAACAGGCTGATCCTGGGGAATTCAGAAAGGAAGAGCAGGAATGAGCTCTGTCTCTTAAACTAACTCAGAAGTGTTCTTCCTTTTTTAATCCTGTGAATCCCTACTTGGTCTGAAGCTATGCCAGAGCTGTCCAGACACCCTCTGTATCTAGCTAACACCATTTTAAATGAGGAAACCGAGGCTCAGGCAAGTTCTAGCATTGCCCAATGCCAGCCATGGTTCCAGCCTTGGTCTGCTGGAGTCCAGTAGACCCAGGCCCGGGACACCTACCATTCTGCCTCTCTCTGGGTAGGGAGCGTGAGAGTTTCCACTTCAACCCACTCAGAGGCAAAAAGCTCCAGTGTCTGAGATGATAGAGGCCAGGTCGCTCAGGTGTCACTGACAGCCCTCATGGAGTCTTCCCTGCAGAAACAAATACTCCCCAACTGGACACCCCCGTCTGTATCCAGCCAGCCCTGCTGCTCCATGTGCTGTGCTGTGTAAGTGTCAAGAGTGTGTGTGGACGTGGTGGGGAGGCTGGGATTGTTGGAAGTAGGAGGGCCAGAATGTGGAGAAGGGGGGCTGCTTCATCTGCTGCTCCTTTGAGTTGATGGAGAGGATCCCACTAGTGGGGAGGGGCTCCCTCCCCTGTGCCCCTCCCCCCCAATCTACTCACATCTATGTGCTCACTTTCCCACATAGGGAAGCACCATTCTTGGGTCAAGTGCTTAAAAGAAGCCTTCATATCTTCACCTAAGTTCTCAAGCTTCCTCTTGGAGAATGTGAGGTCTTCATAACCTTTACATCCATCTTTACACCTGTCACTTAGTGAACACCTGTTCAGTACTGGGGCTACCAGCGCAACTTACCACATCTAGCACAGCTGTCCTATAGGCTCGGCCCTGGAATCCTCATCTTATAGAGGTTCAGAGAGGCCGATCCACTGCTCAAAGACCTTGGGTTAAAGGTTGGG